TGGCCCATGAGCCGTTTCGGTGGTGAGCCGCCAAATATCGGCAGAGGAAATCGTCGTCCTGGGGTGTATACTCCGTTCGGGGTCTGCGTTGGCTGTCAGCTAATACAGTCTGGGGAGCTCACCAGGATCGATTGCGTAGCTCTTGTGCCTCAAGTCCAAGTGGGCAGAAGGAACCCCTGCTCGTCAAGAGGAGGAAGGGACCACGTAGGAGACAAGACAGCGAAATATAACACTCACTTTCCTGTTGGTCTGCCCAGACCTTTTCCATTGCCAATAGGTGTATCATCCTCCGCCATCGAGTCCTGCTCAGCATCATCGGTACCATCGCCAGAGCCTACCGCTGCCCTCCAAGCAAGCGTCTTGGATCTAAGGCATCCATTCACCCAATCCCTCTCTACAATTCTCTGCCAGTCCCTTCCATGCGCCTTCTTCTCCGCGTGGACCTTCTTCGCAAAGTTACTCGTCTCGTCTACGACTAGAACATCCGCCAGTGCTCGCTTGGACACGGCCAATCCACCTGCAGCTTCGAGTTGCGCCGTGACGTTGTCCCTGGCCTCTTCTGGTTTCTCGCCGCCCTCTCTCGCAATATTGACAGAGACCCACACTCGCAGAGGCCTCCAGTCTTCGGAAGAAGCGGGATAAGTGAATATCGGTGAGATAATATTGAGCTCGTCTAGTGATAGCAATCGACCAGCCTGAGCACAGCACGCGAGCCAATGATAGGGGTATACTTCTGGCTGAGTGACTTGAGGGTAGTTCTTGGATAGGTAGGCGATGTGCTCCTTCTCCTTGGTGTGTTTTGGATGGTTTGGGTTCACAAGGAGTATCGTGCAGTCGTCTCGCTGGGTGACGACCGTGCCTCCGAGTGCCTTATGAGGGTATTCGCAAGACCGTCAGTTGTCTCCGGCTGCTCGGTTGAAGCACAGAAGCGAGCGCTGTGCAGTGGAAGTCTCATAGGAATCTACGGTACACGTGGAGCGGATTGATACGGAATAAAACGCAGATACACTCACTGTTATTTTCTCATTCAGTAACCCCACTACATTACTCGAGAACTGTCCCTCCGCGAGCAGGATGGCTTGCTCTGAAAGGAGCTGCTCCATCTCGCTCCGTGAATTTGTCCACTGTTGAGCAGGGGAGCAGAGAGGATAGGCTCCAGCAATCAGGCCAGGTGCGGTTTGCCGTTCACTCTGGGCGTGCTGAAGCCAGCGCAGTCCCGACTTCCTCACTTAGCGGCTGTTCCGAAGTGGTTTCAGTGGCCGATATATTGGTACACGCGGGGATGCTCGGATGTCGCCAGGCGAGGCAGGAGATTAAGCTGGCCGTGGTTGACGATGTGAGGTGCGGTGAAGAGTTAAATCACTTGAAAGCCGCTGATAGTATCCTTCTATTCTTCCTTGAAGCCGCCGAACACTGGTCACGAGCGGTGGAAAGAGGGGATAGTAGCGATGAGATGACCACAGAGGGGTTTAGCAAAGTGTTGGTATATGAGTGGAATTGGATTTGGGGTTGCAGTGACAATTGGGACGAAAGGAGAGAAATAGTAATGTTCGCTTTGAAGGAACCAAGTGACGCGACTTCCGGATGTCTCCCAGGCACGGATTGTTTACGAGGGGTGAGGCACACGTAGAAGAAAAGTAGCAGCCCATAATCTTGGCTGCTCAACGCATCCTATCAAGCATGGGCAGGCGATGGCACCTATCCAGATCGGCATATTGTTGCTGGTGAGCCAACACATGGCGGTCTAAGGGGCATGTATGGGTGATCAAAGCCATATCAATGATCAAAATTTCGTGGTGTATTCGATCTTCTGCACTTCACACTCGTCAGGCACCAGCTACAGACAATCCTATAGAGAGCCGGTCGTTTTGCTTGGTTCTCTGCTTAGCAATAGACTGCACCTTGGATCTTTCACCCGAGTGTAGGTCGATCAGCTGGATCTACCGATGATCGTTGGCTCAGGGGTTCACCTCCTGGTGATGAGCTTTTGGCGCGATGCCCCATATTGACAGTTCGCTCTTCGGCCGTTTGTTCCTTCGGGACCGCCGTACTTTTGCGTGGTGGCTGGTATCCAATACATATTCCGTTATCTTCTCGGGCAGCCAGTCTTCGCTTTCTCATCCGTACTCGTGAAGATGTCGGCGCTTAGCATCGGCGAGACAGCTGACACTATACCCTGACAATGAGTACAGGGGCTCCTCCCGCCACAAGTCGCTGAAACGACAGAGTACGCCGATTTTTCAGCGCATAACTCGATCGCCGACTGGTGGCCGTCCCCATCACCGGACTTTGGACAGGTGCAATCACGACGGTACGAAGCAATGCTGGCAGTCAGTTGTGTTGTCGCGATAGCTCTTGCATATGGATTTTCGTGTCCTGGCGATACAAGCCACATGTAGGCTCCAGTCAGCCTAGATAGAATGCTTCCCGTGAGCTGATCTCGCTGTGAATTCCCATTCAAGCGAATGGGAGCTGATCCCTTCACGTTGCTTCTATCCCTTCTACACACAGGGAGCGGGGCAGATTCAGCAGCAGATGCGCACTCCAATGCACTCGATACTGCGTCCCGGTTTACAGGTCACTGTGGCACCTGAACAGGTGAAGAGTGCGGGGTAGTACAGAACCCGTGAAGGGTAATTAATCCCAGTCACTTGCCAGATGATATGGTCCGCGGCCTGTTTTTCTTTGACCTCGCTCGCCGCGCGTCCGGCTGCGGTCCTACTCATGGAACCCGCCCCCGTATATCGTTAAATGCGTTCCGACGAGAACGGGTGAATATCCTACAGGATACAAAACACCCAAAACACGAGCAAGGCGGCATGTATCCATGATTGAAGAGGCGGACGCTAACTTGTCGTTCGATCATGTCTCCGAGCAGTGAAGATCACTGTGACAGGACCGTTCGACAATACTGATCTCCCCTCATGCTGTTTAGACCTGCCCCCTGCTCTTCCTCCACCCTCTCTGCCCGTTCCACAGAGAGCCGTAAGTGGGAGGTCACAAACGAAGCAGGGCGAGTACACCCTGTCCATCAGGATGCAGGCTCATTGGATTGAAAGACCCCCATCACTCACCGACGGCGACTTCTCTTCGTTGACGACCATCAAAAGTAAGGCCAGGACGCCCCGTACTCCAATTGATCGGCCAGGGAATGCCCCTCAAGCTGGTCAGCGTAGAAGCGATGGACGACTCAGTCATGTTCGCCCCCAGTATAGCGTCGCTCAGAAAAATTGTAGCTCTGAGCGAGCGCTTCCAGCGACCTTATGGCGTACAGACGGCGTGGGACAGTCCTGACAAGACGGTCATATTCACACTTGGAGCAAAAGTGGCCACCAGTGCTTCTGACCAGTTTCACGTCAACGGCACCTCCATTAAGGTCCCGGTCGCTGAGAAGCCGAGCCTCCTTCGAGCTATCTTCACTGAGACTGAGACTTCATACCGAGCCATACTAGCGATTGTGCACGCATTCCCGATTCCACGCACACGAGACTACCATGACCATTATCCGGAAGGCAGTTCGGGGCATGCTACTCCCAAGGATCCGACCACGGTTGGCCATGCAGCCACCAACACCATCTCAAGCTGCCGACTTGACAAGGCCATCACGCGTAGAGTATGTACGGCCATTGACGTTCTACACAGCGCCACCCCCGTCTGAACCTTGCCGATTTCGCTGGGAGGGTTCGACTTCGCCTCCGTTAGGGCTATCAACGCTGAGGTGGCCATTACAGTAGTCATACGAGCCCTCAGTCACCATTTGACACCGCTAAAGAAAATGGCAGCCATCACGCTGGCCAACTGGCAGTGTCACGCTAATAATTGCATACCTCCCCGACCGGACGTCAACATATCCCGCGGACACCCTCTTCTTCCCATACCATCCGCCTGGCTCACAGCAGCAGTCCACCTTGAAGCAGCAGGCCTGGCAGTACATGGCAAATATCAGTCAGGCTGGAAGTTACACGCAGCGACGCACATTCTCATTCCGGCGAATACCGTGAAGCAGATTGATTCGACGACCGCAAGGGCAATCGATCGAATCCCCTTCTCGCCAGACAAACTTCAATGGGTTAAATGGGTTGCCCAGTTTGGACAGCTCACCCGGATCCCGGACCGCACGCTGGCCACAGCGGCTCGGATAGTCATAACCTGGGCACTGGAAGCGAAAACTGCCCAACTCGCTAGCGGTCCATTATAGAGCCGTGTTCACTCCCAAACACACGAGGCAGTGACATACGTCGACGCCATCCTCGCCTCCGCTTTTGGCATCTCCCCAGCCGATTCCTCTACAGTTCCGCCAGGCTACTGAGCGACAGACGGAAGCAGTGAGAATGTCGGCGGAGTAGTAAAGTCGACTACAACCTCGGTCTATGGCGCGACTACTGTGATCTTTGAGTTGTTTGCTGCGAAATTATCCATCCGTGGAGAGATCATCGGCCTCATCGCAGCGCTTATCAAGGCACTTCATACCGGAAGATGAACAACAGCTGAGCGCAATAACGGTTTGGAAGTCTCTTATCAGAACTATGGTATGGGGAATGGATGATGCTAATTACCCATTATACTGGCTAGGTCTGATCCCTCCCCTTCCCTCACAGCTTGCACAAGCTCAGGCCATTGAAGACCATAAATAACATCGCAATCAGTTTGGCCGCCATGATTGCGGATCACTATCGATGGAAGGTCTCCAAAGACATTGAAGCTGGGATGCGGAATAATCATGGATCAAAGTGGGACGGTGGACATCGAGTAGACTGGACAATCAGAGAACGGAAAATATCAAACAGGGATAGGCGACTCACAGTTAGTAACCATAACACCTATACCGCGCAAGCGGGAAGCTTGTATGATGTACCCTTTTGTCCCGAGAACCCTGAAGCACTATAAGTAAAGAACAAAAAATGGCACATGCGAAGCAGGGTTTCACGAGGATCCCTTCTTCGAGGGGACCCTGAGACGTCCGAACGGACAGCCATGGTGACTGCCACACTCATGAATAAGGGTTTGTAGTGTAGTGGTATCGCGCTTCATTTGGGATCCGCTTTCCCCCAGGGGATATAGGAGACTCTTTGAAGAGGTCCCGCGTTCGATCCGCGGCTGACCCCCACTTTTTGGGTTTTTAGGGTTGTTTCGTGCTTACACACAATCATCATCTGCATAGATAGGATCATGGGTATGCGATCGATATGCATGCACATCGGAACCTACCGGTTCTGTTGCCCCCGTGTTCATGTTTCTCTCCGGTGCGGAAACGAAGCTGAGAAGCCCGTGCAGACCTTCGGCTTACTATGTCTGCCGAGGTCGATCGTGCAGAAGGGTTTATGATCTGAAGGTTATGACGGGTCCAGTGGAGAGAGGATCTGAGAAGTCATTCCCCGTGAGGTGAGCGGCGAGGTGAGAAATTCGTACATATGCAAACGAGGACCTGCTCATGTATGGCCCAAGTCACACCACGCATACTCCACTTTGAGCTAACGTTGAGAGCGAGTTGGCGTTCTGGCATGGCAAGTCGGAAGGAATCAGTCGATGCGAGCACATCTTCGAGCAGCTGCTCATCGTCCGACAACGGACTGACGCATCTTGCAGCCTTTACGGAGCCTATATACGTCATAACACGCATTGCATAAGAATCGTAATATAACTCATTACCAGCGCGAGCAATCACTAACTAGCAGCCCAGCCATTTCAACCCATTAATCATGAGCATGTTGTATCCGACCGTGAAAAAAGAGCAAGTACGAGCGTCCTCGTGAGGTACGTCCCATCTCAAATGCCAAGTAGAATAAGATGGAAGGAAGAGAAAGGTGGTTATATACAGATATTGTCCCGGTGGTATACAGTCATGGTTAAGAGGGGGGGGGGGGTATTCGTAGATCAATACGTTATACGTTACTTGGCCAGCCAGCCCATTCTATGGCAATTGACGGAGCCGAGCAAAGAGATAGCACATGGATGTGCGCCATTCGTCAAGTAGGTGAGACGTGGTGCTCGCTCGTTTGTCTATCTCTGACGGTGTTGTCTGGTGCTGTCGGTCTGTTTTGCTTGCTTCTATGCACAGCACTAAAGGAATCGTAAAGAAGGCATCCCACTGAAGTTAAAAAGAGAGAAAGAAAGGCAATCAAGAAGAGACAAAGTTGAACTAGAAATAACAATTACGTCAAGTATTGTCCGCGCGGAAAGGGAATTGTATGAGGTGTTGTCGGTACGCTTGATCATAACGCCGCCTCGGCCGCTACGACGACGATCTGACCGTATTGAGCAGCAAGGGCGTTGAAAGCCTGGAGGTTACCGTTGACGTTGAGCTGGACCTGAGATCCCGTCGAGGTCTCCTCATCGGTCTCGCCATTGGCGTCAGAGCCAGTGGCACCTGAAAGAGCGGTGGAAGTGCCATTGCTTGATACCACCACGAAGGGGTTCGTGGTGTTGTGAGCGATGGCTGATGAGGTGATGGTCGATGAGACCGCTGATGAGGTGAGAGTGGACGAAGCGGAAGAGGAGGAGGATGAAGAGGCGGCAGTGGAAGAAGACGGGGCGGCTTCTGACGAGAAGGAGGAGGGAGCAGGGCTCGATGAGGTCGAGGGAGCAACCCATTCCGAGGTGGAGGAGGTGGAGGGCTCGTGCCATGTCGAGGTGGACGTAGGGGGAGTGTAAGTTGAGGTAGGTTCGTGCCAGGTGGAAGTCGGCGTTTGAGATGTGGTGGTTTCAGCGGGGGCCTATGAAGGTGGAGAGAGCAGGGCGTCAGCAAGCGTCCCGCAACAGCATGCTCCGACTCAATTGCCTTCGATTGTCGAGGCTTGAGCGAACAGTCGTGGGGCAAGATAAACATCATGACCCAATGTCTGTCGTCAGAAAAGCACTCACATCGTCGTTGAACCACCAGGTGATGGATACTACACCAGCGTCGAATGACGCGAACTGCTGAAAGAGACCAGGTGACAAATCGAGAGAGCCGTAACCACACGTAGGGCATTCATCTAGATGAGGCGGATGATACGTCACGTCAGCCGCCGCCAGAGTCACTCCTCCGCGCCTCGGCTTCTTCTGCGATCTTCAACTCACCGAGAATTGTTACCCCTCCGACCGTCTTGCCATTCGCCTGCACTGTGATAGACTTGAAACACTGGGGACCGGGGTATCCGCTACCGTACTGAGCCGAATTCAACGCTACCATGAAATCGCTGTCCTGAGAGTTTTGTCCACATGCACCCAAGCCGGTGTAGTAGAAGGTACCCGTGCCACTGTAGGTCTGACCTCGCGGTACGATGGTGTGGTTCTGCGCACTGTCCCTCTCCTCGACCGCATGGACATGCTCAAAGTTCTTCCTCGCTCGCTCGTGAGTTGATCGTCGGCGAGGAGGGGGCAGATGTGAAGCGGCGGCGATGGGGAGTAAGAGGGTGAAGAGGTTGAGTAAAGATACCATCTTGATATATTCTAATGATCGATGCTAGCTTGTGATGCGAGCCTTAGATGACGAGATGAAAGGAAGTTCAACAACTGGCGACTGGGACAACTGATCACCGGGCGATCAGGCTTTGACTCGTGATAGATATCGCTTTGCAGTCTGGTCTGTTCGATGGTCAATTTTGATCGAGTAGATGGTATAACGGTCGAGATCGAAATGAGATGAGATCTAGATATCTTATCGTCGGTTGATACTGATATTCTGTCGTGTAGACGTGTCTGATGAAACGAGCGTGCTGAAAGTAACGATAATGTACTTTGACTATGGATGAAAACCTAGATGTAAGAATGAAAGGTGGGGTGGAGCCAAAAGTAATGTTAGTATTGAAGATTGTATTGATAGTGGTAGTGGTAACGAAGAGATCAAGTGCAAAGGCTCAGAGGATGGGGGATATGGAAAGGTGCTCTACGGTCAATGGTCAAAGCGGTCGATGTATGGTAGCGAGGGTGATGAAACGCATACAAAGGGGGTTGGCTGATCTGATCTCCTTCCTTTCTTCCACCTTGCAGTTAGCTTGGTGAGGTACAATGTCAGTCATGGCATGGCGTATACGAAGGTCCATGTTCTCGGCCTCCTCTCGCTATGATCCCCTGCGCCCTCGACAAGCACGAACCCTCTAGCATATTTCACTTATCACATTGTATACAGCGAGGGAAGACGTTGTCAAAGAACAATATGAGTGTTCCCTTGAGATGACCATCTGACCGGACGAGTAAGCATGCAACATGTCCTATCGGATGGGGAGTGTGTCCAGGAAACAGAGGAAATCTGTTTCGAAAACAAAACGCAGTAAACAAAACAAACAAAACAAAGCAGACGCGCCAAGTCCAGGGGCCTGAGGGCTAGCAGCGCGTGAGGACCCTACTGACCCTATGAAGAGGTAAACAAAGCTCAATGTGGCGGTAGGGACTTTCATGGCGAAGCCGGCAACCGGTCATGTTCGGAGTTTCGATTCCCAAGCATTCGAGGCGGACCCGGGAATGTTCGTACAAGTACATATATATATATATGCTTACAAGGGTTGCACTGAGCCGGATGTCCGCGGCTATGCTGTTTCGCATGCTTCTGGTAACACTTGGGCAAAGATCCCAAGCCAAATGGCGCTCGAGCATTCCGACGGTGCCGGCGGACAGCTTACATTGCAAGGGACTGCGTTCCGCTGTTAGCTCTAATCATAACCTCCATCGGTACCACGTCCGCTGTGGAAAGAATGACGCTGTACGCTCGTCAACAGCCATCCAGGAGCGTCATTTTCTGCATCATAGCCGAGAAGCAAACCCAGCGACTCAGGTCGAAGGTCGGCAATGTCCGTGCACCTTCGCACCATCTGTGCCGCCCTGAGAGCGATGTTAGGCACGCTGAATCACGAGTATGAGCGATTTTTCTCATCTTCATCGCCCAATCGTATGCGTTGTGCACGACACAATGGCGCGTCGATCAGCATCTGCTGTACCAGGAGTGAGCGTCATCTCGGCATGTGTGCTATATGTGTCAAGTCATGTCAACGTCCATGTCATACATGTCACTTCTCCCCTCTTCTGCGATTTGGACCGCTGCGCAGTTACGGCAAACACTTTGCAACTTCGGGAGTACCGGTGAAGCTGTGCAAAGGCGTGTGCGAGCGGTGCTCGCCGATCACCTGCCGTCTAGACTGTCAGACTGTACGCCCGCACGTTTTGGCATAGGAAGTGAGTGTGTATTAGTTTTGGTTTGTTCAGGGTAATGGTGCAGAACGATCCGGGATCAAGCAAGCCAAAAAGATATGAAACGGGACATCCTGATCTAACGGAATGCCCAAGGGTTAAGCAGCCAGGCCGAGCCGCAGAGGTTGACCAGCATGCAATTCAATTCATACTCTCAAATATCATCTCCCGGACCTGCACCCTGAATCTTACAGCATAAACAAACCGTTCGCAAACCCCCCAGATTTTGCTGGCAGCAGTGCTCGTGGAGCCAAGCGGCAAATCTCTTGTCCAATCGTGTTCCATCTTGAATCCAATCCAATCCAATCCAATCCTAACAACACGCACAGATCTCACGTCACGTACGCACGCACGCTCAGCGGTTCATCATCTGTTTCCTTACCATACCTGCCTGCTGCCCCTGCCATACAGTCAAGTCAGTCTTAGGAATGGTTGGTAGAGGGTTCATGCCAATCGGTCACCGTAGAGCGTATCTATTAGCCCCCGGAGTAATTCAGATACGCCGCACCAAACAAGAGTAAGTTGGTTCCTAATTGCTTTGCCTTTGCCTCTGCCTTTGTCTTTGCTTGCCCGTGTGGTAGCACCCCTGTATAATAGACCGCCATGAATCTCTGAATGCTTTGCGCTACGCTACATTAGGCTGAGCACGAGCATAGCATTCCGTTTCGTTTCGTTTTGACCTGGTCTGACCTGTGCGCCGCCACACCTTTTTTTAATCTCTCGCTCGGTCACCGTCTTCATTCGCTCGTCCCCTCTTTTGCTTCCTTCCAGTGTGATTCCTCTCCCCTTCGCGCTTGCCCTTCTGCCGTTCTTCCCCACAGCTGCAGCCAGTCTAAGCTAGGCATCATGTCTCACTGTATCTGATCTTGAATTATAACCTGCAGATGGGACGCGATCGTTTCTTCAATACCACCACCAATAATCATACCATAGGCGACGA